GAGGCAGAGACAATGATGTGGAGAAATGGAGCAGCTGGGGACTTTAGACCCAGAGAGGGAGAGGGACTGAAGACCGGGGGGCTGGCTTGCAGGATGTACCCTATGGTTGGAGGGGATTGTAACCATGGCAATGAAATGTTATACAATAGGATGAATGTAAAACTAATGTTCTGCCATGTAAACTATCATATAATTCACAATAAAACATTTTTTTTTAAAGTATATTCTGTTCCTCTAGCTGTTCCAGACTAGTCTATTTGTCCTTTCTAGTGAGAATGTCCCATCTCAGAAGGTTCTGGATGGGGCTCAGGATTCCAGTTAAGGAAAAAGACCCCAAGATAATTTAAGCAATATTCTAACATTAACCTATTATTATTATGAAAAGCAAGTATGATATAAATCACCTATTGTAAGGCCCAAATGATTTTAATAAAAGCAGAGCAGCCCAGTGAAAATTATGAGCCTTAATAAAATGTTTAAAAATTAATTTACCCTTGTGTGCAACGCTTCTGAGGCTGCCAGACTCCTCAGTCACCATGAAGTTCAGCCCCTTCTTGACCTCGGACAGCACAGCAAGGACCACAAACACCACTTCAGTGCTCCCTCGCTCGTGCGCAGGAAGATCAGGTAGTCCCAGCTGTCCAAGGAGCTGTGGCAGAAGTATAGCACCCACTCCATGCCCATCCACAAGGACAATGAGGTCCAGGTAGTTTGAGGATACTACAAAGGTAAGCAGATTGGCAAGGTAGTCCCGGTGTACAGAAAGAAGTTTGTCATCTACATTGAGAGGGTGCAGCGTGAGAAAGCTAATGGTACAACTGTCCACATTGGCATTCACCTGAGCAAAGTGGTTATCACCAGGCTCAAATTGGACAAAGACAGAAAAAAAAAATTTTTTTTTTCCTTCCAGCTTTTTTAATATGACTTTTTCTTTTCTTTTCTAAGTTTACAGGGCAGATCATCAGTTTTACATTCAACAAATCATACAATTTGTTTCATCACAATGATTCCAACCCCTTCCATGTACCATCAGTTAACTATGAGTCAGAACCGACTTGTTGGCACTTAGCAACAATGCAATGATAGTGGGAGATTTTATTATATCACTTTAGATGAAGGACAGAACAACTAGTAAGAAACTCAACAAAGACACAGAAGAACTAAACAACACAATCCACCAACTTGACGTCATATAGAGCACTCAACAAAAATGGCACAAAATATATTCTTCTCCATGCACATGGAATAGATCATGTGTTAAGCCACAAGTAAGCCTCAATAAATTTTAAAACATCAAAATACTACAATGCATCTCCTCAGATCACAACACTCTAGAAATCAGCAATAAGAAAATCAAGCAGTAGTAAATCAAATACATAGAATTGAGTAACACCCTGTTTAAAAGCTCTGGGGTAATAGAACAAATAAACTTAAAAAAAAAAAAAGAAAAAAAGAAAAGACATATTAAACATTAGAGCAGAAATATGTGAAACAGAAAATAGAAAGACAAAAGAAAAAATCAAAACAAGAGTTGGCTCTTTGAAAGGATTCATTAAATCAACAAACCACTGTCAAATCTAAACTAAAGGAAAGAAAAAGAAGACGTAAATAACATGAATAAAAAACAATACGGATGACGTCACAACCAAACTAATGAAAACAAAATGGATAATAAATACTTACTACTAACTTTATACAGAGTCCTGATGTGGCACTGTAGGATAAACACTGGACTGCAAGGTCAGTTTGAATCTCAAAGTCGACAGTTCAAAGCCACCAGCCACTCCTCAGAAACTCTAGACAGGGTCGCTATGAGTTAGAACCAGCTCCATGACACTAATCAACAACAATTTTATATAGAAAGGAAAGAGAACTTGGATGATCAAAGCATTGCTAAAGAAGAACCAACAATAGAGCAGAACTCTCACTTCCTGATCTCAAAACCAACACAGCCACAGTGTTTAAGACAGCCTGGTATTGGTGCAAAAAAAGATCTGTAGCTCAATGGAATAGAATTGAAAATCCGTAAGTAAATCTATCCATATATGATCAGCTAATCTTTGACAAAAGGCCAAAACTGGGCAAGAGATAGTCTCTTCAACAAATGGTGCTTGAAAAACTGCAAGTCCATTTGCAGAAGAAAGAAACAAGATCCATATCTCACACCATATTTAAAAATTTTTAACTCAACATGGATTAAAGACCTAAATGTAAAACCTAGCACAATAAATACCATCAATAAAAAGTTAAGAACAAACTCAGGGGCGCTGTCGCGTGGCATAAACACACCATCAAACAATGAAAGCACACAGAGAGCAAAAAGGACAATAGATGGCTGCTTCTTGCTAAGTGTCGTCAAGCAGGTTCCAACTCACAGCGACCCTCTACAGAGTTTCCAAGATTTGAGCCTTGTGGTTAGCAGTTCAGTGCTTATCCTACAGTGCAGCACCAGGAGTCCAAATAGATGATTTGTTGTCACAGTTAAGTGTCGTTGAGTCACTTCTGACTTACAGCAACCCTGTTCAGGGTTTCCAAGAAGCTGCTGATGAGTTTGAACTGCCAACCCAGGGTTTGAACCACTGACCAGTACATTATCCCACAGCACCACTTCTTATTGTTAAGTGCCGTCGAGTCAGTTCCGACCGGCAACCTTGAGGTTCAAACTGACTTTGCAGTCCAGCACATTAACCCACAGGACCACCCACACCAGAACTCCCACAGCCCCACTTGTTGTTAAATGCCATCGAGTCGATTCCAACCATAGTGACCCTGTGTAGGGTTTCCAAGAAGCAGCTGGTGAGCTTGAACCACCGACTTTGCAGTTCAAATGGCTTTGCAGTCTGACGCATTAGCCCACAGCCCCACACCAGGACTCCACAGCCCTACTAGCACCTCCTAGCACTTCCTAAAACTTGAGCATTTATGTACACCAAAAAGATTTCACAAAAGAGCAAAAAGGGAATCCACAGACTGGGGAAAAATTGTTGGCGATGACAGAGCAAACAAGGGATTTATCTCTAAAATGCATAGAAAAAAATGTCAATATCATACCATAACAAGAAAATAAACAATCAAATTTTAAAAATGCACAAAAAGCATGAACAAACACTTCACCAAGAAGACATTCAGGCGGCCAACAAATATATAAAGGAAATGCTTTCTATCATTAGCCATTTTTGTGTTGTTAAGTGCTATCAAGTCGATTCTGACTTATAGTCACCTTGTACAGGGTTTCTGAGGAGCAGCTGAACTTGTGGTTCACAGTCTACTGCTTATCTTACAGTGTCACATCAGAATTTCATTAATCTTTGTTGTTTTTAAGTGCCATCGAGTTGGTTCCAACTCACAGTGACCCTGTATAGGGTTTCCGAGGAGCAGCTGGTGAGTTTGAATCGCTGACCTTGCAGCTCTAACAGACCTCATGGTCAAGTGCTTGTCCTACAGCACCTTACTAGGACACCTTCATTAGTCATTGTTGTTGTTGTTGTTGCTATGTGCCATGGAGTCGGTTCCGATTCATAGTGACCCTGTACAGCGTTTCCTCGGCTGTAAGTCTTTATGGGAGCAGAAAGCCTCATCTTTCTCCTGCGGAACAGCTGGTAGTTTTGAACTGCTGTCCTTGAGGTTCACAGACTGATTCATAACCACTTCGCTACCAGAGCTCTTTGCGTTAGTCGTTAGAGAGATGTAAATCAAAACAACATTGCAATGTCTCACACCAGCATTAATAGCAAAGTTCAAAAAAATAGAAAACAACAAATGTAGAGAGAACTGGGACCCTCTACTCTGCTGGTAGGACTGTAAAACGGTGCAACCACTGTGGAAAATAGTAAGGCACTTCCTCAAAGAAGTTAGAAGTACCCTATGACCCAACAATCCCTCCACTTGGTATGTTGTTGCCGTTCTTAAGTACCATCAAGTTGGTTCTGATTCAGAGCGACCCTATATAGGGTTTCTGAGGAGCAGCTGGTGGGTTTAAATCACCAACCTTGCTGTTCTCAGTCCAGTGCCACACCAGGACACCATACCTCTTGGTATATAACCTAAAAATAAGAGCCATGGCACAAAGAGATGCATGGGTGCCAGTGTTCATCACTGCACTATTCACAATAGCAATTCATCAGTGGAAGAATGGATGAACAAACTTTGGTACATACACACAATGTAATACTAGGAAACACTGAAGAATAATGATGAATCTACAAAACACCTCGTAATATGGATGAATCTGGAGGAATTTTGCTGAGTAAAATTGTTGTTGTTTTTAAGTGCTGTCGAATTGACTCTGACTCATAGTGACACTGTATAGGGTTTTCTGAAGAGCAGCTGGTGAGCTTGAACCATCAACCTTGAGGTTCATATCGACCTTGCAGTCTAGCACATTAACCTGCAGTGTCACACCAGGACAAAAGGACAAGTATTGTATGAGACCATTATTATAAAAAGTCAAGAAGGGAGTGGGAGGGGTATTGTTGTTATTAAGTGCCTTCAAGTCACTTTTGACTCATAGCAACCCTATATAAGGTTTCCAAGGAGTAGCTGGTGGATTTGAACCACCGACCTTGAATTAGTCCAGGACTCAGGGTAGACATTATTAACTCAGGGTAGACACATGTTAACTTAGGTGAAAAGGAAGGCAATATACACCGAATGTGTAAAGAATGATGAAGACACGAGAAAACACAGGTACAGTAGCAAAAATTAAAGGAATTAGATCACTGTAACAACAATGATCTAAAAGTAGATATATGGGCACATACCAGACAGAACAGGTATGGGAGAGACAGTATGAATATACCCACAAATATATAACAGTTTGACAGAGGATATCTCTACATGGGTATTTACCTTTGTCACAAACGTATCTATGACTGTAGTAGAGCATACAGGGGACAATGTTATAAAAATTTCTTCTTGTTGTTTTCAGGTGTCATCGAGTCAGAACTGACTCATAGCAACCCCATGCACAGCAGAACGAAACAATGTCCAATCCTGGGCCAACCACTGCCACATTACTGCTGCCACACTTGACGCCATCAATGATGCCACCTGGCCGATCCATCTCGTTGGGGGTCTTACTCTTTTTCTCTGACCTTCCATCTTACCTAGCATGACATCCTTCTCCAGCAACTGTTCCCTTCTGACAATATGTCCAAAGTATGAGAGACGAAGTTTAGCCATCTTGGCCTCCAAGGAGCACTCTGGCTGCACTTCTTCCAAAACAGACCTATTGGTTCTTTTGGCATTCCATGGCACTTTTAGTATTCTCCTCCAACACCACAACTCAAAGGCATCAATTCTTCTACAATCTTCGTTATTCACTGTCCAGCTTTCGCATCCATATGAGGTTATTGAAAATACCATGTCTTGGGTCAGGCACACCTTAGTCCTCAAGGTGACACCTTTGTTCTTCCACACTTTCAAAAGTTCCTGTGCAGCAGATATGCCCAATGCAATACGTCGTCTGATCTTTTGACTGCTGCTTTCACGAGTGTTGATAGTTGATCCAAGAAGAATGAAGTCCTTGACAACTTCAATCTTTTCTCCATTGATAAGAATGTTGGTTATTGGTTCTAAAAATTTCTTAGACATTACCAAACACCTTGAAGGAATGAGTTGCTGGGCCCAAGGGCACAGGGCCATAGTCTTGGAGATCGCCATGGTCAATTGGCATAACATAGTTCACAAAGACAATGTTGTACTTTCTACCTTTGTCAGTAGCTATTGAGACCTTAAAAGACCATAAGCAGCATCTAAGGTTGCAACTATTGGTCTCTCCCTGTGCAGAGGAAAGAACAGCTGAAGACGCTTGGAATCAATTAGTCCAATGGACTAATGGAACACATAAACATCAGGATCTAC